CTAAGTCATCAAACGAGAAGAGAATTTCTTCAGTGTTCCTAGCAATAAGATTGAAGCGTGGATGAGATGCATTCCCCGAGACGACAAAGATGCTAACAAGTAAATATTACGTTTGTGGCGTACATTTTACAAGTAAATTTATTTAAAATCCTACGCTCATGTTATAAATGGAAAGAAAGTAGCAATTCCACGAGATCGCAGGGCATTAACGTCAGATGCATATCCAACAAAGTGGCCCACCAGTGGCCAAGCGGTTCGGTTCGCTTAACACTGGGTGTTCGGTGTTGGGTTCGCGCCTCGCCAGGACGGGCTGGCCACGTGGAGTTATCCGTGTTTCATCCACGCCTATAACGCCCGAATACCAGCCAGTTACTCTTAAAAAGTTCCCGAAAAGCATCTCCCTAGGCAGGTCGGTCAAATGTTGTGTTGTTGAGATTTTACAAAAACACATCCATGTCGTGTCGTAACTGTTCTAAGCACGGCTTTGGAGCTGGATCTGGAGCAAGGAGCAGGTGGAGCAATGGATTTTTACTCAGAGCAGGAGCGGAGCCGGAGCACGGAAATTTGTAGTGCTCCACTGCTCCGATATATATANCTGCTCGAACAGGAAGCTTTTTCCACTGGATATATTTTTATAGGAAAGTGAATAAGATAAAAAAAAAATGATTTCTGATTCACTCGAGGTATTCTTCTCTCTATCGCCTCGACTAAATTTAAACATTTCGCACTTCGGACCGCGAATAATCGCGTAGTGGCGACATTGAGTTTAAGTAGGCGCCTACGTTAAAAATAACACTAATATCTACAAAATTACACGTTCTTCTATAGATTTTAATACATTACACGCAGTATATTTCACAGGGTGGATCGAAAGTCAGTTAACCGTGTTTTGCCCTTTTTAAATTAAAAAAAAGACTCCCATTTTGAATCATTTTTGTAACTTTTGTAACTAACAAATACGACTTTACTATGGTTAACTGGGTTTTGGGCAAATCTATACATGTATATGTAGAAAAAAAACCTTTTAAATTTGGAATACAGTACGTCAGAACTTTCATGATACTGAAAATTTATATTTAAAGAAATAATAATAATAATCTAATAAATAATTTACGTTACTAGCAATCTGTTTATTCGACTCGTATTGCAGTAATTCAAAAATATTTACTGTTGTAGTTGGAAATATATTCAACCGAGCTATTTTCTACTAATTTGCAAACAATTTACGACATTTTAATAGATTTTTAATTGACATCCAGTAGAGGCTAACACACACACAGAGACATATTTATTTATTTATTACTTAATATTTGACACGGTGAAAATGGAAGTGGCATAAGTTATAAATTTATAAGTTAAGCATAAGACGTATTACAAATGTCTCATGTGAAAGGTGGAAACTTTTCTCTCCAGTATCCACTATCCCCTGACCAAGCTATTCCTTCCCCTCCGTGATCCCCCAGTTCTCTGAATTCTTGATGATTGCAGATGTGCAGTTAAAGCTAGATGCTGCAGCTTGTGGAAATAGAAATTTTCTTGCCATCAATGTACAATTTTGGTATGAAAAAATACGAGAAAACTGAAATAAAAACATTGGATATTGTCGATACTGAAGGAAGACATAACTCTCTATATGTGAAAAATCAAATTAAAGAAACTTTGAACAAATTTGAAATCGATGAAAAACAAGTACTAAGTATTTGTGTAGATAATGCAGAGAACATGACACGTGCTGTAAATAAACTTGGCGATCACGAAAATATTTTCCAGGATAAAGATGAAAAAAACTGAAGACATTGAAGAAATGAATGTAGACATTTCGCCATATTGGGTTAAAAATCCTTTCCTAATATTGCCAGCGTGGACTAATGATAATACGAAAATTCATCTAATGAGGTGTGGGATTCACACTCTTCAACTGGCCATTTGGGATGGATTAATTAATTAAAGAATGAATGAATAACAAAAATATTAGGGAAAATTCGACAGGTTGTGGTAAAATTAAAAAACGCCAACAATTCGTAATGTTTTGCTGAAAATGTATGGCAAAACTCAATTCCTAGATACAGTAACAAGATGTTTATGAAAGAATGGTGTAAACTAGAAAAATGTATGGAAGAATTTGAAAGATATGTTTCGTTAGGAATTCTGTCTTCCATGAAAAAGCGGAAAGAAAAGCTTATTCAAAACACATTTTCTTGCTGGAGTGTATGTTGATTCTAGGTATAGAATCTTATTAAGTGTGGCAGAAAAACTAAAAGCGAGAGAAGGTCTTTCAGACATCCAACAGCGAATCAAAAGGCAAACACTAATTGATTTGGCTGAAAAGCCAGCAATTGTTGAACTGTCACAGCCAACCTGTGATATGATAAATATAGATTCAAAGAAGATAATTTTGAAAAACAATTGGATAGAAGAGAAAACAGTCATCGAATCTCCACTATACATAATAAAGATGACAACGAAATAGACAAACACGTTGAGAAAGACTGCAATACAGTAGAGGATGTGGGGAGATTAAAGGTGAATGTATTCAAAGCCATTGACCATTATCCGAAGCACATCAGAAAAGCATGCAGAGTTGCTTCAAACATGCCAACTTCTCAAGCAAGTGTTGAGCGTCTATTTTCTGGATTAAGATTGCTTTTAAGTGATAATAGGTAATGAAGGATGATCTGCTATCTGCCATTTTATTTATTGAAATCAACGAGGTTGTATGTTAATTTTTTTAATAATAAATTAGTTGTAAATAAACAATGTACTTATATATCAAAGAAAAAATTAATGTAATTACTATAAGAATATTTTAACTGGAGCATGGAGCGGAGCAACTCAAAAAAATGGTCGCTCCAAAGCCCTGGTCCTAAGTACATTAGTAAGTCTGTACCTTAAAACGATCAACGCAATGTCTAACAACAAATGAATAACCATCTAGGAAGAGCTCAGGAAAACATAATACCAAAGATAATATATTGTTTGTTATCTAATCTTAAAGGAAGGTGGGACTGAGGACGACAGATAGAAAAGCTTTAGGGTGCGACTATGCAGATGAGAATTTAGTTACAAGCGATAGTTCTCACAAAGGAAAACCATGCGCAAGCGAGAAATCTCGTTGGCGAGAGCTAATTTCTGGTTCTCGCACATACCTGACAGGGTTTGATATTTATCGCGTCTCGCCACATATTCTCGCTCGCTCGCGTCTACATAGTCGCGCCCTTATTGTATCCTATAGCTCCAAACAACAACATTAAACTTTCATCACATTGAAGAGCATGCTATGCAGAATATAATTAATGTCTACAGTGCAATTAATATCTTTTTATTAGGGTCTAAACAATTTTAATTGTATATATAATCACGGTTTTGTTGAACAGTAAATATCAGAAATCTTAACTATCTCTCTGTGGCCCACCTTCCCTAATACTTTAAGATTAATGATTAATTGTATAATATTTCTTTATCAGATTTGCAAGATCCAGTTGTATTTGGAAGTGTGTAAGAACATTTACAAAATTTGCTTTGTAATCCGATCATACTGATAGGAAGATACGTCCTATGGAGATCATATGGATAGTGATTTATTAGATCATGATTATTTTGCACCAAAACATTTAAGTTTATTCTACACTGTTCAGGAGGTTACATTGTTTATTCTCTACTGCCATCACTTGGTTGTGACGAATGAAAAATATATCGACAGCAAAAACTTGAGATGCTGCACCAGGGAAGACGTTTACATTCATCAAATCTCGAGGTAGTTTGTTATATCCAAGCCATAAGCTTTGCCAATTGATGTGCTGGACAAAAAGCAAACTACGTGTACGGTTAACAAAACTAAACATGGGTGTTTATTTTTCAATAATAGATATAATATTAATATATCAGTGTTTTATTACATTGATGATAGGATGAGACAAAGATGTTCACAAGACATACTTGACCTCCAGATTTTTCACTTTTTTGTTACCTGTCGGTTGCATTTTTTCACCCCAATGATTAATAAATCATTTATTTCATCAGTTAAAGTAAACAACACAGAAAAATTTCTTACTTAAAGTAAATTTTAATAGCGCAAATAATTAAATTATACATTATATTATAAAACATGATGATGATTATTATTTGTTTGTATATACAATACATTTATAATGTATAATAAATTGACATAATAGCAACAATAGCACAATTTAATAATTGGGTATTATATCAGTTTCGTTCGTTGTCATTTATTTATCCATAAACCTGGTTTTGGGTCTAAATAAAAGCTTTTTCATTCTTATAATAAAATTCATATAGGAAATTATGAAATCGAACTCGAAGGTTAAATATTTTTCAATAAAAAACATTCGATCTCGCCAAGCTCTTGCAAGGTCTATATAAACCTTGAGCTCTTGTAGCAGTGGTTCTCAACCTTGTTAATGCTACGACCCTTTAATACAGTTCCTTGTGTTGTGGTGACCCTCAATGATAAAATTATTTTCGTTGCTACTTCATAACTAATTTTGCTACTGTTATGAATCGTAATGTAAATATCTGATATGCAGGATGCATTTTCATTGTTACAAATTGAACATAATTAAAGCATAGTGATTATTCACAAAAGCAATATATAATATGTGTCTTTGCAAGAGCACAACGAAGATTACCTTCAACAATAAATCTACTTCTGTATTTAGACTTGATAACCAACAAGCTGGAAAATCCTGTTTCACAAAGATATGTTGTTGGAAATGGAAGAAGGCACAACACAGTCTCAGACAGAACAGGATATGACCAAGCACTTGGTCCAGAATTTTGTAACTAGCATTGTAGAGAAATCAGTTCTCGCTGCGTCACTGTTAATAAGTTAAATGAACTCCTCTTCTGCTGCCTCAGGAACATCTTCAACTTTGACCGTGAATGGGTTCTGGCAAGTGCAAATGAGGTGTCAGGTAGATTTGGAAAGTACGATGAAATTTCGCCTGTAAGCATGTGCAAGTGTTCTTTCACAGAAATTATCATCGTAATCCTTTTGTCTGGTCTCAAAGAAAGCAGATAAAGTAGGTAACATGTAAATTTTATTTTCATCCAAATTTTTTTTTTTGCCAAAGCTGAAGTTTCATTTGGAATGATCGGATCTTTTCAGACAGATCGAGACATGTTGCATTTGGTCCTCGCAGTGATAAATTTAACTCATTCAAGATGGCAAAGATGTCAACCAAGTAAGCTATTTTCTGCAGTTCACTTTTATCGCTGAAAAGTGCTTCGAACTGCGATCTTGCTTTCTGATTAAAAAGCATTTTGAGTTCATCACGAAGCTCAAAAACACGTTTTAAAACTTTTCCTCGCGACAACCATCTCACTTCAGTGTGAAATAGCAGAGCATTATTGGACGCATCCAACTCGTTGCACAATTGCGAAAACAGTGACTGTTTAAAGTGCTCGCCTTTACAACATCGACAGAACTTATGACGCTTTTCATTACTTCTTGTAAGTCTTGTGGCTGCGTCTCGTTGCTGTGACTCATTTAGTACCAAACCTTGAAATCCAATAAGCGGTGTCTCGGTTCCTAAGACCATCGGCTATATGTGTTTTCGGATGGTCTTAGGTGACCCCTGTGAAAAGATCCTTTGACCCCCAAAGGCGTCGCGACCCACAGGTTGAGAATCACTGTCTTGTAGTGATTGCAGTGGCCATGGTGGTAACATTTGTCTCTAGTTGATTTTAGCAAGTAGCGAAGATAGGCAGTCGAAAGACCAGATAATCTACCGACTCTGATTGCAATTTATATTCCATATCATAAATTTGACCATTCTTAGTCTCAAGAGTCTACTAGTTGATCCATATTTAACTGGTAACCTAGACTGCTGATTAAAAACATTATTATTAACTTCAAAACGTATCTAAAACAATTTAGTGTAAACTACTATTCTTCCAGAAGACTAACTACAAACAGATACGAGTATAACACGTAGTATAACATGTTGGGAAAAATAATTTTAAAAGAGAAACAGCAATCTTTAGAAATTATAAATAAGAAATTAAATAAACTTACCAATTCCATTTCATTCCATAAACTAGTCTATTGAATTTCTAGAATTAAGATAATTCCATAAATCATAAATATTACAAAACTATAGGAGAAAAACCTGTACCAATAAAAAGAAAAATATTAAAGTGAAATGATAAACTGGCATAAAACTTTATGAATAAAGATATATTAATGCAATTATAGTACTAGTGGAATTAAATAAATACTTGCTCTGAAATGCGACTTTAATTAGTGGGATATAGGGGAATTAATAATATATACTTTAGATTTAGCTTGAATAAAAATGTTAGTTTGCATTTCTTTCAGTCAGTCACAGCCTTATATAGAAAAATATACCAACTTCAGTTTGTAACTATATTAAATATACTTTCAATTATTATTTAAACTATTTTACCAAATTTACTTAATGCTGATTAGCACATTTTAATGCCTTTTTGTCTAGAAAACATGATTCAAATAGAGTATTTGAAACATTTTCTAAATATTTATAATCTAAGAACAAAGTATGATTTTGTTTGATTTCTTATCTAAATATGCATAGATGCTAGATAGATTTAAAAAAATTCATGTAAAGTACCATGAACTAAGATTATCACCATTTTAAATTGGGATCATATATAATCATATATATGTATGTATATGTGTATATATATATAGATACATATATATGGTTAAATAAAAA